TATTACGTGCTAGACAGAAAGAAAGAAGTGGAAGTATAATAGAGTATTGCGTTTATCAAGATAAGTTCAGCTTTCATTGGTTATTCCCTAAAACCTGTACGTGCAGTATATAATTTGTTTCTCCTACGTGAGAGTTTAAGGTAATCACGTCACTGTTAGTATGTGGTACAACCTCACGATGTCATGGATGGTACAGTACAACACTTAGTATGTGGTACAACCTCACGATGTCATGGATGGTACAGTACAACACTTAGTATGTGGTACAACCTCACGATGTCATGGATGGCACAGTACAACACTTAGTATGTGGTACAACCTCACGATGTCATGGATGGCACAGTACAACACTTAGTATGTGGTACAACCTCACGATGTCATGGATGGTACAGTACAACACTTAGTATGTGGTACAACCTCACGATGTCATGGATGGCAGTACAGTACAACCTCACGATGTCAGGATGGCATGTGGTACAACCTCACGATGTCATGGATGGCACAGTACAACACTTAGTATGTGGTACAACCTCACGATGTCATGGATGGTACAGTACAACACTTAGTATGTGGTACAACCTCACGATGTCATGGATGGTACAGTACAACACTTAGTATGTGGTACAACCTCACGATGTCATGGATGGCACAGTACAACACTTAGTATGTGGTACAACCTCACGATGTCATGGATGGCACAGTACAACACTTAGTATGTGGTACAACCTCACGATGTCATGGATGGTACAGTACAACACTTAGTATGTGGTACAACCTCACAGGCTCTGGTTCCCTCACCAGCACTACACAGCTTCAGGTGGACATGATCAATGCACGTTATGATTCCTATTTAGTCCGGGGATTGAGGGGATGGCACGTGTATCATGGGAATGAAGAGCAGTTTGCCCACACTGACAGTACTTAAAGTGAAAGAGGCAGTTTAGGGTTTTTATAATAGGACGGATCCCTCCCTCCCCGTCTGAAATAACACTGTAATGGAAAGACAAATTTTAGGCATTTAATGTTTTCACTGGAAGCAGAAATAAGATTGTTGGACGTTTGGAGTAGCAGGATCACCCTAAATCTTCATATAACAATGGTGATTTTGGCTCCCCCTCCTCTCTCATACACACACCTTCAATAACAGAATGGCAGCACCTCTCGACCCCCTAGATGACCACCTAAGTAATAGAGACTGTACTGTATGGTCCGTCAGTTATCGCTCATGCCATTATTGACCTCCTCAGCCCCATGTTGTTGATGATGTGAGACGTTTTAGTTTTCGAGCAACAACTTGACTTTTCCACGTGACGGTGAACTATATAACTCATGAGTACCTATTCTTGAGGGAGGGCAAATACCGTATTGATTTTTAAGATGTTACGCTTAAAGGTCGAGGAATATACAGCTGTTTAAAACCCCTAAATTTGGGTCTTCAAGTTATAACTCCAACTTCCGTGCACTGATGGCTGTTACTATAGGTTCCATAAATACATGCAGGGATGAATGGAGTTTGTGCAAGGCAGTAACACGCCATCTCTTGTAAAATGTGCGCCTTTAACTACAGCAGGGCAATCATTACAGTGGGACGTCCCCTTTACCTCAGCGAGCACTACTTCACTCTTCCCACCAATTTACTGCCCCACTAATGTAATGGCCGGAAATAACCACCGGAGCCTGGCCGGGGGGCGTGGGGGAGACTCCCTGCCCCGAGATATGCCAGGAAGAGATTAAAACCGAGTCTCAAAACAGATAATTACCCCCCCCCCTCACCCCCGATGGTGTAGTGGTTGTGGTAGCCGTGTTGTTATTGCTGGTGGTGTTAGCGGTGAAGGTGGTAGCGGCGGCGGTGGTGGTGGTAGCGGTGGTGGCGGTGGTGGTGGTGGTGGTGGTGGTAGCGGTAGCGTTAGAACAAAGTGATACACCGAGGATTCTGAATTGTTAACCTGTAGTGAATTAATTATTTAACGAGTGTCCATTAGTACCGTAGTAGTGTATATAACAAAGGTACTCAAACTATCCAACCAGGAGCGAACTCGTAGCGATGGTTTTAAATTAGAAACATTTAGATTTAGGCGCGATAGGTAAACATTGGTTTGGTAATAAAGTATTGGATGAGTGGAACAAGTTACCAAACATCATCATTAACTCGAACACGCTGGGTACCTTCAAATATAGGGTGGACGGATAAATGAGCAATAGGGTTTGGGTGTAAACGGGACTGCCCATTATGGACTAATTGGCCCGCTGCAGTTTCCTCCATTCTCATGTTCTTATCCATGTTGTAGAATACGACTGTTGACTTATATGTATATCAATAATGTATGTAATGTTAGAGTCAGGCCCCCTGTTGTGTATGCCTGTATAGATTATTTCCATTATAACCCAAGTAGTGTAACACGATGGTTGCCATACTCTCTCTCTCTCTCTCTCTCTCTCTCTCTCTCTCTCTCACTCACAAATAACAACTGACGTCATGGGACCAGACAAACTATGTGTGTGTGCCTCAGGTGTGTCGTAATTAGCCTAAACACCGTAAATGTAAATCTAGGTGAAGATTTATCGGGACTTACCTGGATGGTGGCTTGATAAGAGAGGTTAATTATTATTATTTTTTTTTTTCCCCCTTTTTAATCCATAGAATTCTCTCTCTCTCTCTCTGACATCCTTGTGCCTCGATAATTTAGTTCTTTCACACACACACACACACACACACACACACACACACACACACGTCATAGATCAAAGGTGAGGAAGGGGTAGAGTGTTGAGGACTCTGATTTAAAAGTATTCTAACGACCCACATCTGGCCACGCTCCGTCTCCCAACAGTGTTAACGACGCTACTAACGAGGTGATTACCATACCAAATAAAGAGTTAATGATTTCTTTAATAACGAGGTTGGCTGTGGTTTGTGTCCGCCCTCGCTAGTGTGTGTGTGTGTGTGTGTTTGTGTCTGTTTGTGTGTGTTTGTGTAGTGTGGGCGAAGGAAAACACGGTGCACTTTCGATCCACTTATATAGTTCCCTTGCAACCTAATACAATGAAATACTATGATCAATGTTATATCAATAAATAAGAAAAAAAAACACCCCCGAATTGTTATCTAATAAGTCTGAACCAATGACCCGCGTCAGATTCATGGCTACATCAGTGCAATTTGACTCAATTTACATATTGCTCAGTCAAACTGTCCAGTGGTGTACAGATGTTTATATATTGTATTCGCCACAAAAGTGAAGAAATATATTGGTTGCTGTAGCTATCACTTGTTGATAGTTCGCCAGGCCCGCTCATTAACTGACAGTTCGCCAGGCCCGCTCATTAACTGACAGTTCGCCAGGCCTACTCATTTACTGACAGTTCGCCAGGCCTACTCATTAACTTGAGTTTGCCAGGCTCATTCATTAACCGACAAAACGCATTTGTTTCTTGTCAGCTCGCCAATCGCACTCGTTTGCCAGAGAAATTTGTATGTTGATCACGTGATTACAATGGCCGTAAAGCCTAATGAAGTTACGTGTGTTTGGCTGCGTGGTGAAGAGAGAAGCCCGGTAGTTGGGGTCACACTGCAACACGGTTATAGTCTATCAACAGTGTCTTCTTCACACCCTTTAATGTTTTATTATTGATGACTCGTGTATTTACTAATCTAGATATGCGCTTATAGACCTTAGCTGTTGAAGCATAGTAATGCATTATACCATCGACATCTACATATCCACCCACGACTGATTTATATATCGTACTAAGCTGGTAATGCAGAAGTAGCGTGTTATTGGTAGCTGGTGTGGGCGAGTACCCGTAGTATAACCATATCCCCATAGGCTTGTAACAATAACCCAACTGGTTCACAAATATCCTGACTAAAAGTGCAGATATAAACTGTACCTTTCCCGTAAAATTCGATGCTGGCAGCTGTCAATCAGTTTTGAACGAGTTATGGACCGTCATCGATGTTGAAACGCCAACGGAAGCATTCACAACCTTCAGCAATATCGACTAGCTGTTTCTTTACACCCCGATAATTGATGCCCATTTGGTAAATAAGGAAAAATATTAATTTAAATCACCATGAACAACATAAGAAAATATATTTTGCTTTTTACTTTTATCCTCTTTACCACTGATCGGCTCGTTAGCCGCTTGGGCGATCGGTCACGTCTCTGTTACGCACTGTTGGCACGTACTGGGCATGCACCGGCTCCTGAATGTACTTGAACCTGCTCTAGTGTTGGTCAAGTCTGGTCTTGAAAGAGCTCACACTCGGTGCCGTCACAACACTTTCTGGTATATTGTTCCAAGAGTTCACAACTCTCACCCCGAAAAAGTTTGCCCTCAGTTTTCTGGACCTGCGGCTTCTTCAATCTTGAGCTATGACCCCTTGTGGGGCGAGCGTCCGCCAGCTCCAAGTAAGGACACTCGACTGAGTAGTGCCCCTTGAGATGATTATACACCTCAATTAGATCACCCCTTGCCCGTCTGTAGTATAAGCTAGGCAAGTTCAGGAGCTCCAATCTCTAAGGTAGTTGAGGTGCCGAAGTGCAGACACCAGTCTGGTGGCCCTCCTTTGAACATTTTCAACAAACTGACAGTCCCTAGCATATCTCGGGGACCAAACGGGGTGACAGTACTCCAGATGGGGAAGCACTTCCCTCTTGAAGATCGTTACGAGGAACGGACCGTCTAGATGTCTGAACGACCTTCTTATAAGACCCAATGATTTATTTGCCTGATTTACCTTCTTCTCGCAATGGCCCGAGAACTTCAGCTCATTGTCAACATACACACCTAGGCCCTTCTCACATTCATTCTCAAATAGTTTGGTTGTTAATTTCCAATTATGGTCACTAACGAATCTGTATCCTTAATGGAATAAATCACTGTCATCAAAGGAAAATGACAAGGGAACAATAACAATAAAACCACAAGACCCTGGTGTGGTGTGGTCTCTCGCAGTTCACCCTACCATCAACACGCAGGACCCGTTTTCTGTAACACGGCAGAAGTAAACAAAGTTGAGACGCCGACCACTGTGGTAAGATGCTCCCTTCACCTCTATTTTACTGTAATGAATCAAAATGTGAAGCTATACTTAAGTTTTCTGTAAATTACGTTACCTTTCAGCGTTTGAAGTTACCAAACTATGCTTTATATATGTGAAATACACTGTACTGGACATCAATCAATACCAGCCTTTTTGCTGTTCTTGATGTTGACTTCATTTCTTCTCTTACTTGATAATTTTACCACGTATCACCATATTAGGTGGTTGGTCTGTTATTTTTCTCTTTATTACATCCTTCTTTGTTCAGTATTAATGCAGGAGGAAACAGGAATACTTGGGGGAAACATGGTGTTTAGCAGGTCACACTTGAACAATAAAACTTATGCCTTTTGTCTCCTGTGATTCTGTGAACAAATTTATTAAATTTATAAAGTAAGAAAAGTGCGAAGTTACTGTAGCTCTTTGTTTTAGCTCCTGTAAATCTGTCATGGAATAATATTGAGTGATACTTAGGATGGTCATTGTCTGAAATAGCATTTTGAAAGCAACAGTGTTTGCTTATGGATCTTTATCAGTCAGTATATGAAGTGAAAAGTCAATTAAATTTGTGGCAGGGACGCTCAATACCTTCAGCTGTATGATAGATGTGTGAAAATTTAAATTAGAGAAATTAAGATTTAGGAGGGAATTAAGTACAATAAATAATGAATCGGAAATAAAATTATGGGTGAGTACCTGGTATGTGGAACACGTACCAAACATCATCATTAACTCAAACTCATTTGGAAACTTCAAATATAGTTTGAAGTAGTTATTTGACCAGGATTCATGGTCGAAAAACCATCGGCTATTTGATAGGGACCTGCAGAGATTAAGTATAATTTTATTGGGATTCTGGTCAGGATGGCTGTGGGCATTACACTAGTCATTACACTATTATTTAAATGTTGAATATTTTATCACTATGTTTTTTAATTGTCTTCTAATACTCCAAGATGTCCCACTTCTCTCATGGACATATATAATGTATAAGTGCAACATAGAGGTGTTGGTTTTCTTAAATAATAGATTTAGAATTTAAACTGATTACATCTTTCTTGTATCACTAATTTTTTTATTTATTATTTCTATTTGTTAGATTTTTCTAATACAGTACACTACGTAATTTGAAATTATCAATAAAATAATATGTAGAATTTTCTGTGGCCAGAAGTACAGTACTTAGTTTTATTTTAGACTCGGTCAAATATCTAGTGGTTATTCAGCCGGATACCAGTCAAATAAACCCTGCCAATAGAGTTTGGACAGGTATATGAGTGATAAGAGTTGGGTATAACCAGGGTTGCCTAGTATGGTCTAATAGACCTGCAGATTCCTTCATTCTCACATTTTTAAAAATGAAAGAGGTGTAGAAAAGGAGAAGTGTGGTATGTATAAAGTAACATTGTCACAGTTTGAATCCACATACTGTGTATATATATATATATATATATATATATATATATATATATATATATATATATATATATATATATATATATATATATATATATATATATATATATATATATATATATATATATATATACTGTATTACATGAGATGGTTAATTGGTCTATTTACACTTGATAGTGGAAGTAACTGTTGAACCAAGTCAGATGATAAATAGCTTAGTTTTATACAGAAGGGTTGTTTATTGTTTTTACCAACGATATACCTAACCTAACCTTGAGTCAGGTCAAGTAGTGACCTGATATACCTCAAGCACAGATAAGGGAGGGATGCTCACCTGTGTGTGTACCAGATGACCTGGTTTAATAGCTCATGGGCTATTTTACTGTTCAACCCGGCTCAATAGCTACTACAATATATCTGTTATCATTTATGGCAAACTGGTTCCAGGAAGAGGTCCAGGGAGGGCTATCCTGCATGAATCCACTGTTAAAGCAAATGGAAAATGGAGTGTCACAAAGAGAACCCACAATGGGAGGGATGCTCACCTGTGTGTGTACCAGATGACCTGGTTTAATAGCTCATGGGCTATTTTACTGTTCAACCCGGCTCAATAGCTACTACAATATATCTGTTATCATTTATGGCAAACTGGTTCCAGGAAGAGGTCCAGGGAGGGCTATCCTGCATGAATCCACTGTTAAAGCAAATGGAAAATGGAGTGTACAAAGAGAACCCACAATGTATGGTAGTGTCACGCTAAACACCAAATTATTCACATCCATCCCATGCAGAAATTGAATCCTAAGTCACAGTAGTGTGAGGCAAGCACATCAACTGGCTGTAGGGCCTATAGAACACGCATAATTTTAGTCATTGATTGGTCTGTTTTACATATTTATGTGTTATAGAGCTTAAAGATCTATATTATTTAAATGCTCAGTAGTAATTTTCCCATTTAGCTTTATGGAAGACAGTTAAAAGTTAGATAATGTTGAATTATGGTCAGTGTTTTATTGTAGTTTATCACAGGCTAAGGGTAAAATTTTAGAAGAGCTTTACCAGCATTTTTGTAAATGTGAAAAAAAATCATAAAATAATTTGTCCAGACCTGTTTTAGGGGTTGGAATGCATTCCCAACCATATGTCACTCACAACATACCTTCGGCAGTCTCAGTTAAATAAATGTCTCTGAGCTATGTCTGATTTTAGCAAGATCATGCCTCTGAGTAATATATTGGTGCTCTGGGGGAGAAGTAGACAAGGAACAAAAGTAGAAAACACAGTTAAAGTTGAGAATGAAGTTTGAAGGATATAATGGTATAATAAACACATCTCATGTCACTTGTCTTTTCTCACCCAGACTGCCTCATGCACAGTTAAATTTTTGCTCTTGTTTTTCCAAATTGCTGGAATATCAGAGACAAAGAAAAATAAGTGAATCTTCATTTTTAGTCTGATATTGTCACCAGTAATATCTGTCTTGTAAAACAATTCTGAACAACCACTGTTATGGTACGTTTCATATAAATTTACAAATAACCTGATGGAATTCTTGTGAGATTTTACCAAAATACTGTACAGGTACAGTCTCACCTAAAAGTTCGTTAACACTCCCAGCTAGCTATTGCTGCACTGCCTGCTTCAGATGTTTGAAACTGTCTCAGTACCAACCAGAACATGAAACCGATACAAATGAATCTAAAGGTTCGAAGTAACAGAATCAAGTTCAAACATCTGAAGCTGGCAGTGCACCAACAGCTGGCTGGGAGAGTTAATGAACCTTTGGGTGAGGCTGTACCTGCAAGTTTAATTTATTTACTCTCAGTTTTTCTTTCTAATTTCATCAATATCTTCATGCAGTTGCTTGTGATGAGTAACCTATTCACCTTAATGGGTCTGAATTGCAATAGTACCCTCAGTGTAGCATTTCTGACACATCCATTTTTAACCAAAATGGGTTTCCATTCCATAGCTGTATGTGTCCACACTCAACTTCTAGAGGCAGACTGTTCCATATGTGGCATGTCCACAATGAATGGGATATCAGAAAAAGCTTCCACTCCAATTGATGCTTTAAAAAACATTTTTACAAATTTTTAATTTAATTGTGTCACCAGCAGTTTAGACCTTATAATAATTATATTTTGTGTTTCAGATTCCTTTGCTGTCTTTTTCTATGAGGGCTTTCTACACATGAACAAAGGTATGTCATTTCATTCTAGGGTGTATGTGTACATATTTACAAAGGTGCAGTAGCTATGTCTATGATGATTAATTTTTTTAGAGATACCTGTAAAGTAGTTTGATGAAAATAACCAGTTACATAATTACTCCAACATACTGTACTGTATGTTAACAAAATTTTCATGCACTTGCACAATCTGTACAGTAGTACAGTATCTCTGTTTCTCTTTTCATCAGCCATACAGTTAATTCAAAGTGATCATTTACAAGGTGTTCATTTGTGGTGCAGCTGCTACAAACATCAGTCTCCACCTACAACTGATTACTTAAATTTAAATTTTCTTGTAGAGTTTTCTATTTGACTGCTACACCACAGTACGCTACTTTCAATACAATACAATATTTAGAATATAAGAATGAAGGAAACTGCAGCAAGCCTATTGGCCCATACTGGGCAGTCCCATTTACACCCAATCCCTATTGCTCATATATCCAACCAATCTATGTTTGAAGCTATCCAACGTGTTTGAGTTAATGATGATGTTTGGTAACTTGTTCCATTCATCCACTACTCTGTTTCCAAACCATGTTTATCTGTTTCTCGCCTAAATCTAAATTTGTCTAATTTAAAACAATTGTTATGAGTTCGCTCCTGGTTGGATAGTTTGAGTACCTGTGTACTGTCCCCTTTGTTTAACCCTGACTTACATTTATACACCTCTATCAAAATGCCCCTCACTCTGTGTCTCTCAAGGGAGTGCAAATTAAGATGCTTTAACCTGTCTCTTTACTTAAGGTTCCTAATGCCCGGGATTAGTCTTATCATTCTCTTCTGAATTCTTACTAGGAATTCTATATCCATTCTGTAATACGGTTACCAGAATTGAACTGCGTAAGCCAAGTGAGGTCTCACAAGTGCAAGATATAGTTTTAGGATGACCTCGCTAGTCTTATAACTAACACTCCTTTGTTTGAAACCAAGTATGTACTTTATTTGCCTTGTTTCGAGCAAATACACTTTGTTTACTTGGTTTAAGATTCCTACTTATCATTACTCCCAAATCTTTATCACTGCTGGATTTCTCTATACCAGGGGTGGCCAACCTTTTACATACCATGCGTCAATTTGTTCACACACGAGTTCAGATGCGCCATACAACTCTTGTACTCCGTCTACTTCTTGTAAAAATATGTTTATAGACATAATTAGCATTTTTACATGATAAAATAATTAAATATAAAAACAATATCTGATAAAGCAGATAAACATTACTTACCTTTAATGAGACCTTTGAGTCTGTTTTGATTTCGCCAGTCTTTCAATGTTTGGAGTTAAATTTGTTACTGGGAGCAGCAGAGAATTCTTCAAATTTGAATCAGTCAGTCGTGACCTCGTTTTGCTTTTAATCAGTTTCATGGATGAAAATACTTGTTCACATCTATATGTCGTTCCGAAACGACGTATATAACTCTGGGCAAATTTTCTTAGTTCTGGGAAATTTTCACAGGGTAATGATCGCCAGAAATTAATCATGTCAGAAGCATTTGGGACTGAGGAAAACTCATCAAATTTCATTTTCAATAATGAATTTGTTTTCAAGTCAATAAGTTCCATTTGTATGTCACTAGGCATCTTCATTATTTTTTGTTCACTGAGTGAAAATGGGTTTATAAATGCGAGTATGCAGTCTTCTTCTTTAGCAAAATCACGAAAACGACTTTCAAATGACTTGCAATTACTTGATTTTTCAGTATATTTTATCAAATTGCCATTATCAGCAGCACATTCACTCTGCTCTTTTAAGTGCAGAAACTGGCTCAAATCCTCATTTTCTAACTGAGAGATGAACAGTTTTAACTTCATCTTGAATGCATTGATGTCATTTACTAAGCTAGGAAACAATTTGTTCTTGCCCTGCAGTTTCAAATTTAGATCATTGATATGTCTGGTAACATCAACTAAAAATGCCAAATCAAATAGCCAGTTTTTTTCACATAAAAGGGCTCTTTCTTCAGGTAGCTCATTTTCTCTTCTAGAAAATTATGAACAGTATTTTTCAGTTTCCAAAACCTACTCAGAACCTGTCCTCTAGAAAGCCAGCGCACCTCACAATGAAGGACAAGGTCGCCATATTCCAAATCTAACATTTCACAATATTGTCTGTTTAATGCTCTTGCTCTAATTTTATTCACACATTTCACAACCAGTATATAACATGCTGCAAATTTAAAGTTTTTCCACACAGTGACTCTTGGTGTATAATGCAGTGATATTTTAGTAGAGGACGATTTAAAAAGTTTTCAAGCAAAGTTGTAGTCCCAGCGACTTTACCTATCATTGACGGCGCTCCGTCAGTACACACAGTGATGGGTTTACTAGAATCTAATTGTAGATTTTCTAGGCATGATTTTACTTTGTCAAATATGTCTGATCCTCCTGTTTTTCCATGAAGCGACTCAAGACTGACAAGTTCTTCAAAGACACTAAAATGATCATCAATTCCTCTTATAAAAATGCTTAACTGGGCTACATCACATATGTCAGTTGATTCGTCCAAAGCTAAAGAAAAAAAAGTACAAGAATGGACAAGGTCTTTCAGTTGCTGAGATACATCATGAGAGAGTTCCTCGGTACGTCTCGTAACCGTCTGCTTTAATAGAGCAATTTCGTCTGCTTTTCTTTCAATTCTTTTATCATCAAGACGTCTTGCAAATATTTGGAGACAAGGCTTAACAATTTCTTCTCCATCAGAGAAGACTTCCTTTTTTTCGCCAACGCTAAAGCAATTTCATAGGACGCTTCTGTCATCGACAAACTTTCACAACTTTTTTTAAAAAATACACTTTGTCTTCTGGAAGGTATTTACCGTAGCTAAGTAGGTACAAAGAAACTTGGTACAGTACTGTATATTTGATTGAATTTCAACAGATTTTTGTTGGATAACTAATACAGTACGTACAGTGATATCTCCATTAGCCGAAACAATTGGTGCAGAGCACTTCTGGGATTGAGAGATTTCCGGGTAATGAGACGACTCTCTCAAAGCCGGAAAAAATCCCACATCACCAGAATTTTCTGGGTAACAGAAAAATATTCTCAAAAGTTCCAGAAACTGTGCATTGCATCATCTCTCGAACCCGGAAAAATATCCCCTATCCCCAGAATTTTCCAGAATTTTCCGGGTATCCGTACCAGAAAATTTTTCTCAGAATTTCCGGAAAGTACGCCTGATTTTCATCTCTCAAACCCAAAAGAACTCTACCATCCCCGGAATGTACCTGAAGTTTCCTGGTACTGGGAAAATTTTCTCAGAATTTTCCAGAAAGTGTGCCCCTTAGAAAATTTCAATTCTGGGTATCGGAGAGTTCCGGGTTTGCGGGATTCTGGCTAACGGAGATACAGGGGGAGGGGGTATTACTATTTATTTTTATGGAAGTTATCAGATAATACCGTGTAGAAGCTTTGTTGTCATTGTTATACCTTGTTGGGAAGATCTCAGAGGCAACGAGTTACCAGATATAAATACTGTATAGCACAGTACACTTTATGTACTGTACTGTATTAAGATTTACTGTACAGTGGTCACAAAATTATAAAATATATTTCAGGAAGCAACAACCATTACACTCTCCTTCTCCAAGATGAAGCAGAGACTGATGGAGTAGGCTTGGAGGAAGAGGAGGAAGAAGTAGAAGCTGGGCTGAATGTGATGGAGGAAGAAGAGGAAGAGGAGGATGAAGAGGAAGAAGAAGATGATGAGCCTATGGAAGAGAGTGATGAAGAGGAAATATTCAGCAGCAGCAAACACCGCACACTTTTACACCATGAGGGGGCAAATTTAAATGGACAAAATCATATTGGTAAAGAGTTTTGTTAGTCATTATTTTTAAGATTCATCAATAATTTGGTTAGGCTCTGCTGGATGTACCGGTAATTTCTTTTGGGCTCAGGATTGAACTGGCAGTGTTGGTTCATACAGGCATTGTTTTGTTACACTTTAGGTTTTCAAAATGTATGAAACAAATACTGTATTGAAAACTATTTTGAAGGAGTTCCTATCATAATTGTATTGTAAGAATATTAGTATAATGTACTTGAGAAAAGAAGGTTAAGAGATGAATATTTTTTTATAAAGGAGATGAAAAAGGTCATTAAAGAATTTCCATGATTCTGCCACAAGGCAGCAGCAAGGCAAATAAATCTTTTGGTAATTATTTATATGTCCAGTACTCTTAATATTTTTTTTTTTTTTTGGCAGGGGGGCACGGAAATGAATACCGATTATTGAACAACAATGATGCAGATCTTAAGACAGTTTTGGACACGCCAATTACTATATGGACACCTACACCAATGTCTCCAGCTCGTAGAGCATGTTTTATTGCTTCCATCATGTTTGGAATTTTAGTTGTGGCAACCTTTCTCTGGGTGTTACCGTGTGATGTACAGCCGTGTGAAGGAGAACTCGGCTTGACAGATAGAGATTGGGCTGTAAAGATTGAAGGAATGGGTGAGTTACATAAATTTTAAGAAGTGGGCACTAATGCATAAACTACCATTGTAGGTGTGTGTGAGTGGATGTACTATAATGTAATTGAAATGCATGATGATGTCCAAAGAATTCAGGTACTGTATATGATATATTCAATGATGGCACATCTGTACTGTACAGGTATATGTTTACATTATGTGAGGCAAAACTGAAAGGGAGGGAATATACACTTGGAATGAAGTGCAGGCATGAGGGCTTGTTTGGAAGATGATGATGATTTTATGATTAATGTATAGTATTGTGTAAGAAAAACTAAGGCATATTAAAGATGAATGGTGTTACAGAATAATTATGTAGCCTGTGAGTTTAGAATACAGTACTGTATTAGGCACAGTATTAGTTAACTTTGTAACATGAAAACTTTTGTGTTAATTCTACCATTTAGTCAGGGGCGGATCTAGGGGGGGTCCGGACCCCCCCTTTTCATCAGAAAATGTCATTAATTTTTCTTAATGCAGTATTGTACTCAGGCGTTTCTGTATAGTTACCATTGACCTCAGAATATTTCCTAATATCAAGTTCACATGTCCTCAAAATGGCCTCAAATTGCCCATGATATTGGTCAGATCTCCAAAAAATTTCTGAGGGGGGCTTACAGCATCCCCCCCCCCCTTCCACCTGGGTGCTGGTATTCCTGGATTTGCCCTTGCTAGTTACCAGAGAGAAGGATGTTAAAAATTATTATTGTTGAAAATTGTCAAAAGAGACCAAAAAATTTGGATGTCAAAGAAACCTTAAATGTAATAATTGCACTCAAGTACTGTACTACTTTGTGTAAATTGCATTCATTTAAGATTGTAATTTTTTATTTCATATTTCATATGCAGGATAGAGTACAGTATTATAGTATAAATCAGCATTTCTTAACTTGGGGGGCATTTAAATTTTTCATGGGGGCCAACACATTTGACTCGTAATATAAATTCCAGATTAAATACCCGGTTATATATATACAGGTATGCAGAATGGTAACTAGATTTTTTCCTTTGGGGTTGAGGGGTGCCACTAGTTGAAGGTTAACCACTGGGAGGCATAACTCCACAAAAGTTAAGAATAACTGGTGTAGGTTCATTCACTGTTATGGTTATAATTATGTACAGTATATTCTGATATTTTTTAATATGTTCTAGGCATCAATCAAACCATACTGGTGAGAAGACTTGCTGGAGGTGACAATGTTCTGCTCAGTTATTATACATCTATCAATATATCTAGTTGGGAGCAGGATAATTCCTCTCTCTCGGCAAATGAATCATGGCAGTCTGGTTTGTGTTTTATGTGTTCTTGTTCTTAGTAATCCTTTAGGTTTTAAAAGTATAGATAGTACAGTATACTGGTAATAAGAGGTTGCAAAAAGATGCTAAAATGAAACTCAGAATAATCTCTCAGTCCCATTGAGGGATACAGTACATAATTACTTATACAGGGTATTCATTTTCAGATCATACACAGACAGATTGTAGTAATTGTGGTGTAGGAGAAAGTGATGATGGTGGTGTTAATGATGGCCATTGTGGTCTTTTGATGCTGGACGGCAACTTGGGGCGAGAAAACTGGCGTATTCCTCTAAGAGAATGTCCTGTAGATATACAGTGTGAATTGGTGAGTAAAAACAGATTCAAGTGGTTATTCTGATTAAAAACTGTAATTTTGACAATTTTAGATTTTCAAGAATTTTTTCATTTACTGCATCATGTTGTTTTAATGATACTGAAGCTCTCTAGAAATTTTTTCACTTAGGAAGTAGAAAGTAGTTAACAGTGTTGTGAAAACTTTCAAGGAAGGCATACGGTTTACTGTTGACCTTTTGCAGTGGACTTCTCTAAACATGAGATAAAACCCTTAAATATTTATATACTGTATTGTATTGTGTAACTTTTTTTTACCAGCTTGATATTAGTGGAGACAGAATACCGGATTGCATTGTGCGGGGAACTCATTCTATGGTCTTCATGATTGAAGCACGATATGGCACCCCAGTGTGGCACCTGCATGTACATAAGGATTTTGAAGGTTGGTAGAGTACATTATGTTCCTTTATGTTTCATATTTGGTATGTGAGAATGGTGACTCAAACAAACCCATTAATGCAACTTTTTATAAATAGTGAAATGTAACATTTTGTGCATCACCGAGAATGCTAAAAATTAACTTTTTAATAACATGATGATATTCTTTCTTCCACTTTGCTTCAGATTCATAACACTTCTTCTTTGGTACCATTTGATTTAATGAATAATGTAGTTCTTAGGTGGTGTTAGTTCTCTTACTGAGCAGTGCAGTCATCTAATGGACAGAGAGTGATCCTCCTGTGAATGGGTACCTGTACTTAGTTTTATAGTTTTGCAAGGAAAGGCTCTCAAGTGCAGTGTTGGCCACACTACTTTCTTGTGTATCAAAGGTTTAGTATAAAGGAGACTATCAGTGCTTACTGGTGTGAATACTTTTAGCATATAGTATTTTACTGGATACTGTACATACTTATGGGTCCCGATCATCCAAAACACCTACGGTCTCAAACTTTTGGGATTACTGAGATCCTACTGTATTTGAAATTTATTTCGTGAGTTAAATTGTCAAAATTTTTCAGATTCCTCATCATCATCGCCTCAACCAACACCTCAGACTTCACATCCTCCACTAAGGCTGTACCATCCTGGCCCTGCGCTGCTGCTTCCAGATTTAAATAATGACAGCTTTGGAGAGCTCCTTTTCTCAGGCTTGTTGTCCTCTGAGAAAACTCATTCTTGGAATCGGGAATATGCAGATTTTGATAATTGGAATGGTGAATCGGATTTGCCAGAATCTGTGACATCAGATGCCTACACAAATCACTTAGTTCTTGTTTGTGGACAATCAGGAAGTGTTATGGGTTCTCCATTAGTTCTCGAACAGTGCCAAAAGATACTGTCTGTTACATCAGATGGTGAAACAATTTCATATTCTTGCTTAGGCAGCAAAGGTGATAGTAAGTATACAATATCCTCTAAGTTCATAGATGTTAGTTATATGAAGTCATGATTTTACATATCCATATTTAATGGCACTTCAGAAAGCCTAAAGTTTAATATTGTATCATATTACACTGTTCTGGTATTCTAAGCTCAACAGGATCCCATTGCACCAGTGGCTAATTCAAGGTTCACCAGTTGACGTTGATCAACGTAACTCCATTAGTTTATGCTCCTATGAACACTTCAGCTATGAGTATGAAATCTGAATCCTTTCTCCTTGCTATTCGAATGGGTTAGGTTCCTGAAAAACTAATCGTTAATTGAACTTTCGTGTAGCAAATAAAAGAACATAAGGAAATAATAGGGTTCGGTTCCCTGCGACAAGAAAACCCCCAATATCATACATACCCCAAAAACAAAAAATCTGTTCCCAAACAACAAAAAACCTACATAACTAATGGTAAACTACTGTAATTTACTGCGTAATCCATTAAAAGCATAAATAAAATACTATCTAGACGAAAATATGCAGCCAAAACCAATAAGGAAAAGCGAAATCAAAGTTTAACACAGCTGCCACTTGCATAGACACTGGCTGTCTTATGGGTAACTGCTTCCAAGTCTAGCCAAAGCAACCCAACCCAGTTGGGAATGTTCCCCCTCCTGCTCACACACAAAGAAATGTTTATTCCCTTTATTTTTTTTACCTTATGATAGTTATTTCTTTTAATTTTTATTCACATTATGTATGGAGAATTGTGTGCTTGTAATTATAAAAAAAAGGGGGGGGTGGAAAGTTAGGTTTATCTACCTAAAATTACACATTGAAAAATAATCATAACTTCCCCCAGTTCATCCTGCTAACTCATGCTGGCACACAAATGTTTATTCCTTTATGTTTTTGACCTTATGATTATTTTAATTTTTTTGTATACTCTGTATGTAGGATTGTGTGTACATACTGAATAAAAAAAATATGAAGAAAGTTATGTTTATATTCTTGAAATTACGAGTTGAAAAATAACCATAACATACCGTAACCCTTATCTAAGCCTGGTAGGCAGAGCACTAGGGGTATGCGGTTGCCCCAGCTGACTCCTGGGGACGCGCGATTTGAACTTTTGCCGGGACCCAGATTTGTATAAGCTGGGGAAGTTTTCATAACACAAAAAAAAGGTGGTAATTTAGAAAATCCATATAAGCAAATTTTTGTATCTGGAACATTTGTATAGCGAAGGATACCTGTACTGGTGTTATGTTTAAAGGGTGTCCTCAATATAAAAGTACAGTACACTACTGTACTTCTCTACTTGATGCTTACAGGTTTGACACACAATCACAATATTTTTTTTTATTATGCAACACTATTTTCAATAATTAATTAAAAAATATTAGCTCCTGTTTGAACATCCTCTCCTCCCTTAATGGGGAAGTGTGTTGACACTAATACAGTACAGTATAACTTTTCGTAATTTCCAGAAAACGCGCCTGATTTTCATCTCTCAAACCTGGAAAAATACTCCCCCATCCCTGGAATTTTTTGGGTATCGGGAAAATGTTCTCATAATTTTCTGGAAAATGTGCCCCTCGGAAAATCGTTCCCAAAGCCGTAATTTTCCGGAAAATTGCAGCTTTGGGAACGATTTTCCGAGAAAATTTCAATTCCGGCTATCGGAGAGTTCTGGGTTTGAGGGATTCCAGCTAACGGAGATATTACTGTGTACAGTACAGTACTACTTACTAACCTTGTTTCATGTTTAAGGACCTTAGTTGTTTGAGCACAGTTATAACATAATAACATCAAGGTCAGTTATATGTTAGAAAATTTGCCCTGATACTTTGGGAACACAAACACTTCTCTAGTTAGGTTAGTTTCTTATAGAGAGAATAGTATTCAAAATATTCAAGCAAGGTTGAAAGAGCACCACATATTATAAGACCGAGCCTAAACTTTTTTTTTATTTTTTTTTTTTTATTTACATTTAGTTTGATACCATTACATAAAGCAAGAAATGTCATCAGAGTTTACTCTGGAACCAAGTGTATTGTTAGTGTTAATTTTTTATTTTTCCAGTCATCAGTTTATAGTGAAATTTATTAGACCAGAAATTAGCAGTATGAGAAGGGGGTAGCCTACCAAGGAATAGGTACTTGGTTATATGCTGGGAAACAAATAATCTCTTATCATCAAATCTAAGCCTAACTTTTTATGTTTCAGCAACACCTGGAAAGATCCATCTGACAGTTCTGCTGCACCGGATATTAGGTGCTGCTGCTCCAACACAAGAATCACAATCTTCCCAGGAGAATTTAAATCTTCAAAATCAACACCACCAAGTTCATAACACGCAGAGAGATCCCTGTCAAATGGTTGTACATAATAATGGTGTGTGTCCCCTGTGTCAATCAAAAATCCAACTCACAAATTCAGATGGTCATGTATTATGGCATAAAGATTATGAACACAGTGCAGTTGTGTCGTGGGCAGCCCTCTTATCAAATGGGGAGTGTCATGGTGCAATACTGAAGGTTTGGGAGTGGAAGCATGTGACAAATATTATTAAAACTGTCAAACCATCACCCTCAATTATTCGAAGAACAACCAGAAGTAGTTTCATCAGTGATGGGACAGAGAGTGTAGAAACTGAACCTACATATCCTGAAAAAGATATGGAAGACAAAACTGAATTGGATATTGCATTTAATTCAAGTCTTACCTCTGAATCCAATCAAATATCTGATAAACCTTATGATAATTTTTTAAATAAATATTCTAAAGATGGTCATGCAAGCTTGAACAAAGAGATCATAAATCCCGTGAGAGAGGATTATTCTGACGTACAACCACCAACAACTTTAGAAAGCCCAAGAGCCAGGAGAAACTATCTTCAGGAGGCACAGAAGCCGCTATACGAGCACCCAACGATACATCATCGTCATGGAAAACAAGCATCTGGCAGTCATGAAGACCATAGCAAGCTGCCAGAAAATTTAGCTTCAGTACAGGAAACTTTTTCACCAGACCCAAAGATAGATTCTGATACTCACGACTTTCACGAAATCTACCATCATCCTAAACAGACGGTGACTTCTACAACCATACCAAGCCCCATCCCAACAGGCATGAGGACAATGCCTCCCAGTGTTCTGGCACCACATGGTTATCAGTTGCAGCAAATACATGAACGATTAGCTCTGCTTAAAAGTAATGGTACTGTTTGGCATGAAGAAACAATAGCAAATTTGGGTTTAGGAATTACTCAACTATGTAAGAATGAAAATACCTGCATACCTGATGTTGAATCTCATGAAAGGTCAGGTGAGTAATTAATTTCTTTAACAATGTACTAAATACTGAATAACTGTGAGTAGATGGCCACTGATTTATATACAGTCTCTCCTCGACTTACGACAGGGTTCCATCCCGATGACCAGGTCGTAAGTCGAAAAAGCGAAAATAATACATAGAAATTCTAAAATGGGTGTCTCTCTTTCTTCTCAGCACCACGAGAACTCTCACTTTTATGCTTGCCAGCCATTTTAAAGGGAATTACAAACAAAAATTTTGTCAGTACACAGCGCGATCACTAACTTCGGGACTCGAAAATACGTAATGTGAAAAATATTTTATACGACCATGGCCGTCATATGTCCGGCTTGTTGTAAGTCGATTATGTCGTAAGTCGAGGAGAGACTGTACAGGCAAATGTGTATGGATGTAAATGGGAAGTATTGATCCATCATTGTTTTTGGGATGTGACTCATAGACTCTGGAAGTAAGAGAAAGGAATACCGTACATAAGAAGCAACAGAATTAACCTGGAGCTATCCCATGCAAGCGTGGATAATGGCCGAAAAACAACGAAGATGATGTACAATGGTTATACATGATGAGAATACGTACTGAATAATAGAAGAGATATGGATAAGAAAAGTGCTGGGACTTGTGGGAGAAAGTGGATCAGGTGCTGTGGACATACAGAAAATGGATTGAAAGATTGTTGAAAAGAGTGTACTGTAGAGTACACTACTGTATACGTATATCAATGGTGGATGCAAGGAGGGAGAGGGGTAGGTCAAGTAGATGTAAGGATAGATGAAAAATACAATAGAAGTAAGTGGGATTGACATTCAGGATGTAGCCATGTGTGTGTGTGTGAATGAATGGAGGAGATGGCATTAAGTGATTGTTGGGGAAGGGTAAGTTTATGGGTGGTACTGACTTATGGGAAACAATGGTAAACTACATTTGAGGCTTTATTGTGGAAGGGGATTACCACAGCTGAATGCATCTTTTATAGCAATAAGATTAAATGAATTAGAATAAATGGAAGGTATACAGCACTCGTATGCAGGAATAATGTTTTGCTGGATTAGAAGTAATTAAGTACTGTATTGTTAACATTCCTCTACATTAGATTTTTATAAATAACAGCACATCTAATCTCATTTTCATTTCCTCTTTTGTTCCCAACAGTTGCAGTGACTCACGGTGTAGAGGAAAGGGCATGGCAGCTGACTTCAAGTAGCACAACCTATGTTAGTACACCCATCAATGGAGAGCAACATCACACTTCTCCATGGACCCTCACTTCCATTGTTAGAAAAATTATTGTATATGTGTGAAATCTCTTAAAAATAATTTTATGCCACTCAAATGTATATACTGTATACTTAAAGATGCTTAATTAATTGGTATTATTTGTTCATTAATTACAGATTTCAATAATAGAATATAAATATTTCTAATAGAGTACAGTATATGGTTACCGAAATTTATATTTTCATTTTTTTTTTTTTTATTATTATTATTGCTTCATGCTAACTGGAAGTGTTCATCTTTTTTTTTGCAGCATTTTGAAAGTTTATATGTTGGTACAAACTTGGAGCTAGAGTTATATAGCTGTCTGTCCGTAATCCCTTGAGTATGATGCCAACTCCTTGCATACTGTTAATGAAGCCAAAGAGTAAGATATGTTACCCCCATGATTATCATGATCTAACCTCTAAATCCCTTCTGTACAATGTCTTAACATAATGAATACATTGACCAGTTTCCTTAAGTATGATGACATTGTACTCAAGGGGTTAAGTCATCATACTCAAGGGGCCAACTAAATGTGCATATCATTCTATATGGAAATATTTATTACATAGTCGAATTGCTAAACCTGGTGTCATGCATTATACAGTAATGTAATTAAGTATTGGTTGTGGCTATTTAGATCAGTTAGTTTCAGGCTTTGGCACCAAATGATAGACAGAAACAGGTGCTGACTATTTTGGCTTACAAGTAGCTATGCTCATTCTGTTGACGTGTTTTTAGTACAAGTCTAAAATATTTACAGAAAGGTCTACAATGTGGCTCCGGGTGTAAAGTTGTAAGTATATTGCAGTTGTTAGAGATACAGTGTTTCACATTATTGCGCTTTATGAAGGGAGCCTTTTTTTTTTCCAAGATTTTTTACAATTTAAGTGAATGAAGTTTAAGATAGCCTGAACTTGCTAGCTTCCTTAGCAGAAATAAGCAGAAATCTAGTACAGTAATTTACTCCATAGGTGTAAAATAAAGATGTATTGTTGCCAGTTATGCAAGTCAGGTAGCTATTGTATACTGTATTTGTCTATAGGTTTGACACACAGTGAGATTCAGTACATTTCTAATTTTTTTCATACAAATAGACAACTGGATTTTTTGTTCAGTGGGAATTTACTCTTGACTTTACATGCATATAGAAGTCCATGGAAAAATATTACATCTATATGCAGTTTCCTATGCCACAGTCATAATTTGATGATATTGGTAAGTTACCAAGTTTTGCTATTCATAATCTGCAACTATGCATTCATCAACACTCCAAATACCAAACAATTCCATTTCTTTAAAATCAAGTTTGTACTCCCCCCCCCCTAAATTATTTAACTACTACTGTATTGTACAGTACAGTACAGTATACAGTATGCAAATACTGAAATACTGTAGATACAAATCTTGAACATTGTAAATTTCCCAAGAGTAGGAATCTCGGGTACTTTTCTTTTTACATAATTTTAATATTTGAAGCTTGAAGTTTCTTTTAAAATATTTAAAGTGCAGAAAAACTATTTATCCAAAGCGCATCATCACCTTCATCCTTTTTTTTTTCCATCATATCATGTACGCTTGTTTTCCCTCCTACCCCTCCATCCAGGCAAGCCCATCCAGCATTACCATAGAGTTGAACTGTCCTGTGATCCTGGTGTACTGTACACTATATCTCCAGTTGAGCGTTTTACCAATTTTATTTCCAAAATTTAATTTGATTTTTTGCCAATTTTACATTAGCTGTATCAAGAGGTCAATATTTTAGATTTATAAAATTATTTTATGATATATTTAAGTGTGATTGATTATATATATATATATATATATATATATATATATATATATATATATATATATATATATATATATATATATATATATATATATATATATATATATATATATATATATATATATATATATATATATATATATATATATATATATATATATATATATATATATATATATATATACTGTGTATGTATGTGTCTGCATGTTTCTTTATTGAGTGCATGCCTTTGTGTATGTGCCAATGCACGTGTGTGTGTTTAAAGGAATTCATGTAGGTGTGTATATAGTTATTTGATTTATGTACATACAGTATACTTATGTAAAGATTTTTTTATACACATAAATTTTGGGAATACCGGTACTTTGTATTTCTATATTAAAGAAGAAGTAGGTTGTGATTACTATACTAAGTTCTTGTGATTAGTTTCTAGTTAATTATATTGTGCCTGTAAACATTATGAGTAAGTTTATTACAGTTCAAGTTACAGTACAGTATATGAACTGTGTGCTAGTCATCTATTATTGCTCAAAAGTGTTATTACATCATTGATCAATGTTCGTCTTAGGAAGAATAAGCATATCTCTATACTGTACATGGTGAATTTTATCCAAATGCAAAGCTCTAAGTGCTGCTTAATATGATTTTGTAAGTTGACGGGTTTACCCTAATAAAATATGAGATTTTAAGAAACTCTCCGGAATGTTGTTCTGTGAATTTTTTTTTTCAAACATTTACACTAAACCTTTGAACTAGAGAGTGAAGAAATGTTGCAGATTATAGTTATAACCACAATATGACAATGTGGTTATAGTTAACATAGAATTATTGTAAGAAAATAGTTGTTTAATGTTTCTTGTTTTCAGATAGCAATAAAAGGGAACCTTAGGTCACATTAAAAAAAACATAATGTATAATATGTAATAGTAATCACTTTTAATCCAGGTAACTTTCTTGGTACTAGACAAAGAAAAAAGATAATTTACACATTTCCATTGACTCAATATGCCAACATCAAAACCAATGACACTCTACTTTATTTAAATGGTTTATTTTCCATGTAAATGACATATATTCCCCGTAGGTGGTGCAGTCAACCCTCGCTTTACGCGGTCCCACATTCCGCGTTTCCACGTTTACGCGGTACCCTGCCGAAACCGGAATGCTCACATTCCGCGGTGCGTGTACCCCTTTACGCGGAGAGCGGCTGGCGAGCCGCGCCATTTTTGGATCCAAACCTCCCGCCATCTCTCCCGCCATCCGCCATGTTGTGTAAGTGGCGCGAGCAGGGTGTGCACAAGGTCGCCCAGTCATCAAAACATTACCGAGTTCTTCACCCGCCACCCACCACAGCCGGCCCAAGTCAGTGATAGTGATAATTATAGTGAAGATATGGACTTATATGGACTTTGAGGGGTTTGACAAAGAGGCCCTGCAAGCCTCTGTGGTGGATAGTGATACAATTGATACAAGTGATACAGGTGAGGGCCAATAAGCTGCCCTCTGCCTCGGAACCAACCCCCCATCCCCGTGTGCCCAGCCATCTATTCTACTAATGTAAGTGTTAAAAAACCTAATATTATTGATATTTCTCTTAATTATTAATTGTGTGTGCATACCATCATAAAATTAAGAAGTTATTTTTACTACAACGTAGGTATTGTGTCTGAAAAAGTGGAGTTTGGGGGTCGGCCCAGTCTCTATTTCAATTAATCCCATATGTTATGTTGTTCACTTTACGCGTTTCTCACTTTACGCGGTACCCTGTGGGTTGAATTAACTGCGTAAAGTGAGGGTTCACTGTATATAGAATCAGGGTCTTAAAATTTTGGTAAATTTTCAGAACAAATATAGACATAGTAGGATCTTTTCTTAAGCTTAACAGCATTAAGTGGTGGATTGAATATTGACTTAATTATTTTTTTTGAGGCTGTCACAGAAAACCCAAATATTTTAATTCATTTCATATTCACTACGGCTTTCTTGAATAGTAAAATGACTGTACTGAAACTAAAAACATAACATCAGTTGTATTTGTTTTTTGTGTGTAAACAAGCACAAGCCCTTTCTTGCTTTAAGATAGGATGGCAAGGCAGATTCTGATTTCTTGATTCATAACATTTAGCAGCTAGTGGGTTACACTTTGCTTTCAGTAGAGTGATAGTCCACCGAACCTACATGTACTGGTGTACAAGAGTGAACCCAGCCCTACAGGCTACTGTATATCTTTCGGGAATAATTTTTTTAACGTGTTGAAGGATTGCCTAGTCACTATTATACTTAAATTACTGTAAAATTTTACTGTGTTATATCAGTGGGGAAATCCATCATGAAAGTACATAGTTTATTCTTTTTACTTTAAAAGCAGGTACAATATTCAGTTCACATAACAACAGCATCTCTTAAATCATAGAACTGTGACATATTGGAGAGTTTGGGGGAAAATTTTTTTCCTGCTCTACCCAGCTTTGAATATTCGAGTTGGCAAACATAACACAACACAACATAAATACAGTATAGTAAATTAAATCTCATACTTAGGTCTTCTTGATCACTAACTATTTCGTGACTTCATGTGGTTTTAAGAAGTCAAATTCTCAAGGTGATAGAATTATAATAGTACAGTAATCTCTCCCTCAAATGGATTATTAATGATTGGCCAGTGAGGTTAAAAGAAAATTCCACTTACTCGTTAGTGTTCTCTTCACCAGGTACAGTAGTACTGTAAAATTCTCAACTGAGGTTACGGAACTGGATATTTTCTATGTATTCATGCAATTTTTAAGTGGTTAATTATGTAGCTGTCAGAGAATAAAACAAAAGCTTAAGAAAATGATGAGAAAGGTACAGGTATGCCCAAAGAATAAAAGTACGAGAAAATTATCAAGTATAAAGTGTAGTACAGGTACAGTTGCTAACCAAATATTCTCGACACATCTGAGAAAACACCGACAACATGTACAAAGGCAAAAAATCCTGCAATTGGTGTTCCTTGCTTTATAGAACATGGGATAGGAGACTGAAACATTGTGACATGAACTAAATGTCTGTACGAGTAAAGTAGTGCTACCAGACTTATCGAGAGTATTTTGTTGGGAACTGTACCTGTACAACATACCGGGTATGTGAATATAAATTAAATGGAGTGAATGATAAATCAGTGTTACAGTCTATATTAAAACTTTTAAAGGCCACTAAATTAAGCCCCAACCATAATCTTTGCAAATCTTTAAGCAATGTACCATTTTTCAACAATACATACTGTACTGGACACCACCCTATAATGCTTGGCTGGCATTTTAGGCATGAATATGAAATGATGGCAATATGACATTGTGTCATAAATTTATGAACAGAACAGCAGGTGATAAAGGGACAAGAGGAGAGAATAGCAAATAATGACTTGCCTTGAGTCTGGGGAGATTTGTGACTAGCCAAAGTGTCGTTGTGTGTATTCCCTGGTCATGGACAACGCACACATACACACACCAGTGTATGTATCAAAGAACAATAAAATCCTCATGTAACAGTGTGTGTACAGCCACATTCTAGAATCAGCATGGCAGGCCAGATTTTTTTTTTTGAGTACAGTATACTGTAACTGGAAACGAGGGAACACTTTGAGGAAAGAAAAAAGTGCCAGATGGCTCATCCAATTACAGTATTGTACAGGAGACTTCCATTTAGGGGAGAGAATGCAGTACTGTACTGTGCTCCCATTTTTGTTTATGCATTACAAGCTCAGGTTCTAATTTGGTGCTGAGTGTTCATGTCAATCAACAGTAGAAGGATAATGTGTACTTATAGTAGCAAGGATTAATTATATATTGGGGGTGTGACCAGTTTATATTGCATATTTGTTCACATGCTAGAAGAATTTATTAATGGATGGTGAAGTACAACCATCTGTATATGTATTTATCTTGACACTTAAATAGAAGTATTAAACATATTCAGTGATGCATCTAGACAAACTCTTGATATATCACATGTGACATATTTTGTTATAACTTGTGAAATCTCTCTAGGATTGTATCAGTAAAATTTATTTCTGTACTGTACTTAAATTCAAGCAGAGGCGATAAAGTTTTAAATTATCACATTGTTGTATGATCTTTAGGTTATATACCAAGGACTAAGGACTGCCGTGTAGAATGTTTCAATTCTTTTTTGGGGACATTTCTGTATAATTATTTGTAATGAACTTCACTTGGACTATGTATGTTTTCCTCAGTACTGTACAGTATTTGTCCCAGCTTCCCTCAGATTAAGAAATAAAATTTTTATATTATTTTATTTTTGTTCTGATATGGTAATGAAAGATTTGTACAGTATATCTTTTTGTTTGTAACAGTAACTTATCTTCATTAATACTGTATTCTCTTTCCATTGTTTACAAAATTAGCACTCTCAATATTTCTCTTAGTATTTAAAGAACCTGGTGACATCTTCTGTGTTGGTAGTTTACTTGTACAGTACTGTAACCTTTAAAACTTTGCATCATCATAAATATGTCATCATTGTCCAATTTTTTCCTCATCCAGTTTATGAATCACACTTTCTCTCCTTCCCCAGTCATTTTCTTACACTGAATATATCACAAACTGAAAGATGGTCTTGTTCTTACTTGTCACTTAATTGCTAGTTAGTGTGTAGGGAAGACTACTGTTTACAGTAAGCTTAATCTGGGGGATTCTTTCTTTGTTGCTGTTAAATTCGACATGAACTGTATCATCATTGTTTAATGTTCCATCATCAAGTCCCTGGGAATAATTCTTTGAAAAAATCATCATGACATTATTGTACTGTACTGTACTTATAAACACGATGATCTTTAATTTACAAAGAACTGGGGTTACTTTGGACAGTTATTAAGGTTTTTACAACCTGCTGTTCAACATACAGTATGAAACCAAAAGCAGATGTTAAGCATCGTATTATTGTATTGACCAATGGCCTGGCAATATCGGACAACAGCAATATTACAAATTTACACTTTTTCTG